GCTGATTCGGCGCTAAATATTTTCTCACAAATTGGGCAAACAAAAATTAGTGCTGCTAATCCACACATAAAAGTGCACACGCTCCACTCCATTGGGAGAATTCCGGCTCAGGCGCCATTTAATAAGCTCCAACCACATTTATATTCGCTTTATACCGGCATGACCGGGTACCCATTTAACACTTGGGTGGAGAGTGACAAATGTAGATTACTGCGGGACTCGAACTGCGAACCATGTGATCCAAAGTCCGTTGCCGTATACACTAGACCGCTAAACCTCTCCCCTCTCTCTTCATCTTTCTCCCCCTTCCCCTCTCTTCTCTGCATGGAAGAGTCGTGAAATTCGATGATCCTATATGATCTGTCATGGTCGCAAAATATATAACTAAAGATAATGGAAACAAAATGCTCATCCGATTTAAATTCATTAACGGGTTTTCTGTGATTTTCAGACGGTTGCGCAATTGTTGCAGAGGACTATAACACATATTTTGTAACAGCTGCTTAATATTGTCTGTAAAAGTAAAGAAGTAGTTATATGAGTTGCAGTCGAATCGTATCGTACAAGTACACCATGTCCCAAATCTTTCTCATTTCTAACTTTCCTCAACCCCTTCCCTTTCTTCCCTCCCCCATCTCGCTCACCCTCTCTATTCCCCTCTATTTCCCTTTCATTTCTATATCTCTCACTTTTCCTCTGTATCCTTCTAAATCTCATCATATTGCCTTTCTGTTTTTCCTCTCCTCCTCCCCTCCTTCTCCCCATTGATCTACTTAACTCTATTGATTCATATTACATTGATGTATCTTGTTTATATATTCTTTGTACGTAGCAAAATTATGAATGAATAATAACATAGCAAACTATTTATTCCTATGATATACCAATACATTTTTCTCTCTCTTTCCCTCTCCCTCTCTCTCTCTCTCTCTCTCTCTCTCGCTCGCTCGCTCCAGATTTATCTCCCTTGTCGCTTTCTCCTTTGTCTCATTCTATTCCTTTGCTTGTTTCCCTCTTTCCGCTTCTAACATTCCTGTTCTTCCTTCACCCTATTATGTTCATTGCATTCCTATTTAGTATTCAAGAACTGTTACAATACCTCGCCTGTTATATACATTATATTCCGTGTAAAGACAGATATGTAATGTATAACAGCTATGACCAATGAATTAACCTATAGTGTACATACCCTCTCCTATCAACCCTCTTCTACCTCTCTGGCTCTCCAACTCTTTTCCTTTCTCGGTCGCTCTGCTTAGCTTTGTTCTTTACTATTTTACTAATCTCTTCTCTCCTTTGCCTTTCGCTTCTTCTCTTTCTCATTAATGATGAATAATTTACATGGTCTATATATCCTTTTGACAATTTGCAACATTTGTTTGTAAACACGTGCATGATTGTTATTGATATCCATGTCAATTTAGTTGTATGATTAAGATCATGGAATGTTCTCAATTAACCTATCAGTCAATAATTCAGTTGTAACAAAAGACATACATCAGAGATGAAAGTGGGCAGTTATAAAAACGGGAAAGGGGAATTCATAAGAAAGAAAAAGGGTCATTTGTCAAAGTAAAAGGCACCTTGCAAATTTGAATTGGGGGACATATAAAAGGGGAAGGGACACTTATTAAAAAGAACAGCGGCACAATACAAATGAACACTTTTGTTCCGTAAAAGGAAGCACTTCTGGTATACTTGAAGGAAAAGAGGGGCACTGTGCCCCCCTCCCCATGAGCGCCGACTCTGATGCGGACAAAGAACGCCCCAAATAGAGAGAAAGAGACAGACGGAGAGCAAGATGGGGGAGCGGGCAATATACAAAAGCATACAACATTAAACACAGAAATAACCAATGGTACAATTAAGAAATAGTTTAAGAGTGGTAGCACAACTGAAAAATAACAATTAAATGGGGGAAAAACGTAAAATGAAAAATGAGCAAAAACAAAGCAAATTAAGATCAAGTGAACGAGCTTATGGTATAACGATAGTAGCAACCCCCCCCCCCCCCCCCCCCGAAAAAAGGAGCCAGCAATGAAGTGATTAAAGAAATAACCTTCAATTCCTTGCAAGGAATAAAGATAATAAATCATACTAAAAGTCCTACCACAGAAACACCGATAAAATGTTGAAGTGCAAATCTAGACAGAAGAAACAAAATGAAGTACGTGTACAAACATGATAGGAACACATGGGAGAGAAGAATTATGAATTAAGTCATTTAGCAACGTTTCGATATTCTGTTGAGCATTTGGTGTCTAGGAAATGGGATAACAATCATCAACAACAATAAAGACAGCGACCCGGGACAGAAACCAAAGAATCTGATACGAAAACTCAAAAGAAGAAGTTTGGAAAGCTAATGAAGCAGACGAAAAAAAAATTGCAGAAAAAATATAACAGAAAGGAAATGTTAACAAATAAAATAGGCCTAAACATGTAAATATATTTAGAAATTAGATATAGAAAATGACAATACTGAACAATATTAGAATCATAGCGGTTGTTATACAGATGAAAATGAGAAATAGTGAAAGTGTAAAGTGCATACAATGTGGAGCAATACTTACATGTCCAAGAAACACAGAGAGGGTGCCTCTTGATGATGGTTGAAGACTTTTGAGATAGGATTCCAGTCTGCCGCCCTCTCTTGTTCCACATCGGTATAACCTATGTTCAGAAAACGGAGTGATAGAGGTATTAGGTGCGTTGGCTGTCAGAGTAAAGAGAACGAATCAGAAAGAGAGAGATAGAGATAGAGAGAGAGAAAGAAAGAGCGCGATAAAAGGGGGATAGATAGAGAAAGAAAGAGAGAGAGAGAGAGAGAGAGAGAGAGAGAGAGGAAAATATATATTAGAGACATACAAAGAACCAAGAAATTAAGAAATAGAAACAGACAGAGAATGCGTAAATTATGATACTATTAGTATTTTCATGTTGGGATTTATATATCTGATTTCTTTTCTTCTTCCCATGAACGATTTAGTTGTGTAGGCCTCATTTAATGATTAGCAACAACATACACATACTTCGGGAGGTGGAGAGGGAAGGGAAAGATCAGGGGAAGTTTCACGAGGCCTTGAAATTGATATTAAAATTAATCGGATCAATTTTAAAGGTAGGCGTTACTACTGCAGCTAGAAGGGATTAGACCACACAGCGAGCCATCGAGGTCACTATGACAGATGGCTATCTCATTAACTCAGCTCTCATTTAACATAAGAAAAAGAGGATATAGAGGGAGCAAGTAGCTACAAGTAGGACAGTGTGCCTTTAAAGGCCATAAATTGTATTTGATTTTAAGACATGTTTCATAATAAAATTAAAAAAAAAAGATTGAAGCTTTAAAATAAATTTCAAGATAAATTGTATCATTTCTTTTCAAATTCTAGAGATGGTTCTTTTCAGGATTAACAAACTAAAAGAATAGTTCAGCTTTCCCGCTTTAATTATCTACCATTCGTTTCGAAAGGAAATATGTAATATTGCTTAAGCTGGTCAAATATCTATAAAAAATTGTTTATATAATGTTTGAAAAAACGTAAAGAAATAATCCATGATATCATAGGTAATACGTATTCAAACTTTGTTTAATTTCCTCTGTATTTTTGACATATAATTTGTCCAGGGCCTCTCAGGAAATCACATTTAATACTGAGAGCCTGGGTAACCCTGTGCAAAAGAAAACGGACGAAAAAAATATCCTACTATTAATCCGATTTGTTCAGCATTGATTTGCTTGAAAGGCGTAAACGACGGCCAACTTCAATATGGTTATGTATCGGAAAATGAAGAATTCTGTACGAAATTAATGGCCAATGAATTAGGGGCAATTAATTACCATATTTGTGCCCTTATTCCATACATATAATCTCTCTCCCCCCCCCCTATTAACACACAACCACACTCCCATCTCAACTCGTTGCACCCCCCCCCCCCACAAAAAAAGGAAAACTAGAAAAGAAAAAGGGAACAAAGGAATAAATGAATAAAGTAAAACAATATAAAAGCTTTGCTAGGTTATTTGAATACTCCCCATCAACCAAACACACCATCATTGAATCACATCATTTCATGATAACTACCATGCGTTAGCGTCCAATCTCATCCATTCATTCTTTTCCCCAACTCCATTTTTTCTTTTTAAATGAAAAACAGTACATTGCTTAAATAGAAAATATAATTCACACAGATTTTTCAGGCTTTAAAGTATAATCGTTTTTATTTTGCTTGAATGCACGAAAATCTACACTTTGTATATGTTGAGCAATAGCAAATTAATTCAAGGGATACAATAAAAACATTTTCAATGGCACAAATGAAAGTACTCTGCTATTGAAGTACAGTGTCACGTGAGTGACTTTTTTTTAATTATTTACACTGCTACCTCTTTAGAAAACCACACCAGAACACAATTGTATAAGTTTAAATAAAGGTTTAATATATTCAGCCAACAAATCGTGGCGTCAAAAAAAATCAACAGCACATAAACAATTTAATGGAACATAACTTTTTAACAGTGCAGCTTCCATCTCGTGAGTCCCTCCTGGTCCTGGTCGCTTGGCCAGTCTCTAGACTGCGTAGAATTCCCGTCGACCTGACAGCTTATCTCGATCTCTGTCGATGACTTCCCTGGTCGCTTGGCCAGTCTCTAGACTGCGTAGAATCCCCGCCGACTTGACAGCTTATCTCGCCCCGACGTAACAAGTCTTTCTCAAGAATAATGTTTCTGCCACTAAATAAAACTACCTCGTGCATTAAACGTCTGCACCGTAGCACTGACTTAAAGGGTTCTGCCCATCATTCTACAGCAACTTCCCTTTTAATACCCTTTCTTTGCCAGGTCCTTCACATTCAAAACCTCCTTGGCATCCAGCTATTTCTATTTATCTCTACATTAAATAGCCAACCCAAAATCATGCATATCAAAACCCCCATATACTGTGTGTGTTAAGGGGCCACCCCCCCCCTTATCTGAATCCAAAATTTGACCCCACCAATATTTTTTTTTTTTTTAGTCCAATGCAAGGTGCACTATCTTAAAAAACTAACACTGAAATTTCAGAGAGGAAATCAGTCTAGAAGTTGGTTAAAATTGATTATTAATCAACGCATTCATTATTAATGGTATGACCTTGAGGTCACTCTAAAACAAAGACATCGAGGTTTTCATTAAAAATGTCATAAATTGCTTATTTTTTCACCTATTTGAACCATTTTGGCACCAGGTTGAAGAGCACAAAAAGCTCTTTCATTTGGTGTGTATGCTGCCATCTAGTGGTAGGTCTGAGTAATGCATCTCTTCTGTGAACTCATTTGGTAGCTGCTATACTCAAATTCATCGCCATTTATTCTGCAATTACTTCGTCATTTACTATTTCATTCATCATGGGTCGTGCTAAGAAGGGCTATGTGAGTAAGAAGAAGGTTTTCAGAGGAATATCAAGGCATGACGTGAAGAAATTAAACATTCAAGCAGCTGCCAAGCTGTCAGAAGACACTGCTTCCAAGAGGAAGCTAATTTCTCATTTCAGTCCCACTCATAGGGTTTTGAGTGGGGGCATGGTGGGTCATCTCATCATTCATGTCCTCCAGTTGAATGCAGCCCTGGAAGTTTTCCAAGACCATTTCTGTCAAGGAGGTAAGCTTTATTACTTGCTTGTGAATATTTATTAGGCATTTGAAAGTGTTGAATTGCTATTTACTTGTAGGTTGATTGCTTTTTCAATTATAAGCACATGCAATTTTCTGTGCATTCATAATCATGCATGATTAAATTCTATGACTATGAAATCAGTTGTATAATTTGGATCTATGACTATCTGGTTTTATAACATAGTTTAGTATACAAATGACAGTAACTTTGTTGCCAATAAGAAATGTGGTGTGATATGTATATTGATTATTGTGTGTGGAGGGATTATTTGTTTCAAAATATTTTAGTTGCAGTTTGTACGGTGGCGTGTCAAAAGTTACTGCGAGAATGAAATTACATGTAGGCCTACATCATGTATCATATGAAAACGTGATATCTACGAGATTATCTAGTGTATTGTAGAGTGATCTGTAAATTAAATGAAGCTTTATTTCTTCCCTTTAAATTCAGGACACCTTCAGTTGTTAGAAGAGCACGCTAAACGTCGAGGCCTCTGTAGTTCTCTTCTTCTTCAGTGCACCGGGTGCAAGATGGAGCATCGCTTCACATCTTCCCCCAATGCTGTGGCAGAGGGAGCAGGTCAATCCGCAGAAGTTAACAAAAGATCTGTTTTGGCAGCCTGTGAAGTGGGCCTTGCCAGGGAAGCCCTAGCAGACTTCTGTGGATACATGGACAAGAGCTACCAGGACCACATATACCGTCTGCACTTGGAGACGAACGAGGTATGTACAATATCATAGTGGTCTTCAAATTGAAAAAATATCCAAAGAAACAACTTGATACACAGACTTGTGCGCTTTTTGTGTACTGTGTTATGATTAATTTCTCCTTCTCTCTTTGTTCTCCAAACCCACTGCAGGTCTGTGAAACTCAGATGAAAGAGGCCGGTGAGCGAGTTCGGGAGGTGGTGCTGAATGCCAACCCGGAGCTGAATTCGGATGACGTGCTGGACGTGGCAGTGTCGTACGATGGAACGTGGCACAGAAGGGGTTTTGTATCAAATCATGGGGTGGGGATAGTAATGAGTATGGACACTGGTGAGGTTCTTGATAGGGAAGTTCTTTCTAAAATATGTAAAGCATGTCAGTCGCGAAAAAGCTGGGATAGGGAGGGGGAGGAATACATAAAGTGGTGGGATGATCATAAACATAGTTGTTTGGGAAATCATGTGGGAAGTAGTGGTAGCATGGAACCTGAAGCAGCTAAAATATTGTGGGGGAGATCTGTAGAAAAGCATAGGTTGAGGTATAAGTACGTCATTTCTGATGGGGATGCTTCAACTTTGAAATCAATTAAAAAAACGTACGGGGATGCAGGGGAAGTTAAGAAATATGATTGTATTGGGCACGTAGGGAAGAGAATGTTCAATGCATTAGATAAGTTTCGTAAGGATGGGGATCATTCGGCAAGTGAAAAGAAGATGATGAGGAAAGGTAACGGTCATTTATGGGGTACTTCAGATACTGGGACTGTAGGTCGAATGAGTAGATTATATAGAACTACAATTAAAGAATGTCAAGATCGTACTGTGATGAGGGATGAAGAAAAAAGAGCAAGGGTTGTAGAGAATATGCAACGGAGGGTATTGGCTATTCTTTATCATTCATGTAAAAGTGATGATAATGAAGCTCGCCACCAGTACTGTCCAGACAATGGCTTTTGTGAGTACAGAAACAAAGGCACAATGAGTGACGAGGACCACCATCTAGATGGTCGGTTCCTCGAACTTCTCAAGCCTGTCTTTGTGCGACTTAGTAACAAAGATCTCATCGAGAGATGCGTCCCAGGTTACACCCAAAACCAGAATGAGAGTTTCCATTCTCTTATCTGGAAACGGTGCCCTAAACACCTGTGGAGAGGTCCACGAATGGTTGCCCTTGCTACCAACATGGCAGCTTTGGCATTCAATTGTGGCGCTGTGAAAGGTCGCAACAGAATACTTGTACGAATGAACCTAGAAATGGGAGCTCACGCATTGTCAGTTGCAAGTAAAAAAGATAAAAGTAGATTGTGTAATGCAGAATTAAAGGCTAGGGTGGTAACTAAAAGGAAAAGGGAAGTAGAGAGAAGGGCTAAAAAGAGGGCAGAAGAAGAGTATGTTGAGGTGGAGGGGGTGACTTATGAGGCGGGTGCGTTTTGATTTTTATATATTTTGTGTATATATATTATGTTTCCAGGTGTAAATATTAATTGATCTATATATATTATTTTAATTTATGTGCCACTTATTTAATTTCCAATTGATTGTTTCTATGTACATGTACTTGTATATATTTATCATTTTTGTTTTGATAAGACCAGCCACACTGCCACGTCCTTCGCTCTACATACCTCCAGCTGGGTCTCCGAAGCATCGACGCTAACCAAAGGGATCCAGCTTCTTTTGTAGTATAGTTATTAATTTTTAATTAATTTGACTCCTTTTTATGCATATTTTTGGAAACATTAATGTATATATTTTGAATGAAATGTAAATAATTGAAATTTGAATTAAATTACACATTTAATTTCATATAATGATGCATTTTTCTAATTATTTGGCTAGGCATAATGCAGTACGTTGTGTATATGTACAAGTGAGATGTGATATCCTTTTTATTTCCTTTGTTTTCTCAAAACGTCAAAATTGCAGGAAGTGTGGTGTACTAAAATGAGGATATCTGCAGAATGCTGAATGGGAATGAGCTGAGACTTTGCAAGATGATAGATGAAATAATGCTCTGCAATCTGATGGAAGCTTTTCCTCTCATCATGCATAATTAGCGAGTAATTAGCTCATGAATACATAATGAGGCAATCTTTTCCGTGATTGGTTGATGAAAAAATATTTTAAAAAATCATATAAAAAAAACCACACAGAGGATAGTAAAAAGCTTCCATGGGATTCCAGAACACCTCTTTAGAAAGCTTGTGACCAATTTTGAGAGTGATTGAATAGTGGGATTTCGTTTGAGGTGTGATTTAGTGAATGACCTTGTATTGGTAATTAATTAGGTGATTACGATAATGAGGTTCGTGTAGAGTCCAAATAAATATATTTAAATTGTGGGTTTTTTCATAACCTATCCATCTATATATAACTTTAAGTGGATTAAATTAACTTTTAAATGCATAATTAATCTGCAATAATGCATCCTACGCTTGGCTACCTCTAATTGACCTTAGAGTAGTACATTTCCTTTGAGTAGTACATTTCCCTTCTCGCCTGGAAAAAAATCCTTTCATGACATACAGCCAGTTGTAAGCCATTGCAGCTAATAAATGCCACTGTCTACTCGGTGTAATTTGATGGAGATTAAAGGAATAACATTTGTGCTAAAGATTGGTCTTACCTATATGGTTGTTAATCTATAAGGCATATACACATTCTCATGTCATGCAGTTTGTAAAAATGTGTTTTCATGATACACCAGTTTGTCTATATGAAGTTAATTATAGATTTTCTCTATCAGATTTGAACATTTTCTTAGGACAATATAAATCCGAGTTGATATAATTTCCTGCCAAAATGTTTTCACTGCAGTAACATTATTCAGTTGTTTATTTTGATGCTGTTCTTAGGCAAATGATAAAAATATTCAATTGAGGCATCAACAGGTAATCATCAACACATGGTCATGCCAACAAAACCTCTAGGGAGAGTTCCAAATAGGCCCTCAAATTTATCCACTGCTGCTCAGATTAATTTGCCCCTTTGAAATTTCCGATTTGATATTTTAAGATTCATCACCATGAACGGATTTGTCTATGTAAAGTAAGTTTAAAAACAGTAAACCTCCATGACAGAATCATAGATTTTAAAATCAGCAACAACCCTTAACAAGATATTTCTCGAAAGTGCAGGCTGAAATAGCAGCGCTAACTTGATATGGATGACTTTAGTTTTATCCTTCAATTAAAGCTAGTATTTTGTCCTTTCTTCTGCAAGATTCTAACATTCTATTTAAAATAATAAAATTCTTGGATTTTTCATTGAAAATCCTAGTTCCTTTAGACCTTACTTGATAAATTCTTATCAAACCAATAATCTCATACTCATGGCAAACTGATGGCAAACCCATGGTACCCTGACTGAAGCATTTTTCATAGCTTTAGCTGAATTAATTTGAAAGTCTGTCTCATGGAAAGTCGTAGTTGGAAAAGTGACATGTCCACGAATTGTTCAGCATTGTGGTCCCTCTTGCTTAGAGCTGGAAAGGGAGCTTGTATCTGTAGGCTGGCTGATGTTCCAGATGAAGCATAATGTTGCAGGGAATTCAGGCTCTGCAGTCTAGAATCTGGAATAAAAAGTTATGCAATAAAACAATTAATAACTACTAGTGTAATTGTTCAATCTTTCTACAACTTTTGTATTTCTGGTCATGTCAATTTCTTTGATTGGAAATGAATAAAGTAGAATGATGTAAAACATTCTTTGAAAATATTGATACGAAAGCAGTTTAAGTTAAGAAAAAATAATAAATAATTTATTTTTAGGCTTTGGAAAAGAAAAATCTCATAACCATTTGTGTATGTTTTATACAATAGATTGGGTAAGATCTGAATTAGATCTCTAACAAGGACTATGAAAACTGTACTTACTCTTTCGTTTTTTTCTCTTTCATATTGATTACTGTAGGGACATGGCAATGATGACAGGCACAAAACATACTAATACGATCAATTATGTTTACCGGTAAACTGAAACCCTTACCTTTTCAACTTGAAGAGATGAATAAGACCTTAGGTATGAAAGTCCAGATGCCATGAGTTTTGCAGTTCATGTAGATGCTACAGCTCTTTACTTTGCAACCTAAGATTGAAAACGGAGATAAACATATTTCATGAAGAGAGCAAATATGTTTCTCAGAAAAATAGTTGTCACTTTACTTAATCTAATGTGTTCATCTGAACAAAAGCATACTTTCGTCAGTGATTCTAATTGTAATTAAAATGGTGGACTGTGTAATGTGGAAACTTCTAATACACTCTGGACTTATCTTGCTTTTGACTATGATCCCAAACATTTCTTTAAAATCTTGATCTTGAACTAGAGCTTTTATTTGTAATATCAAACTAACAACAGTCAAATCTTAATCATGGATACTCTGATCTTGAACCGAACCCTATTGTACAGAGTTTGATTAAAACTACCCTCTGGGGAATAGAAGTAAAAGAGATGCCTTAAATGGTATATAACGAACAGAAAACAGCTTACATCATGAATATGCTAATTAGATTTTGTTCAATCACATCTTTATACTTTCACTGTTTCCCTATCCTATGCACAATTGATCAAAATCTGGCTGATCAAGTATCTATGTTTTTGACCTGTCATGGCCGGCTTCCTATTAGATTAAGAACGCAACATTTTCAGTTTGTTATTGAAAAATCCAATATCCGGTATCTTAACCCTTTATCATAAATGAATATAAAAGACTATAAACTGAACAAAAAGTTAGTACTTTATTTCTATGTAGGTCTAGAACATGAAGAAGAAAAAGAACCTCACCCTTATTTCATGTCGGTGTTCAAACTTTGCTAAGATAATCACATCAAAAGGCCACTTAGTATGGTAGGATCTTGCAGTAAACCTTGAACCAGATTACATTATGCAGATCCATATCCTTTCCTCGGGGCAGAGGTAGGATGAGAGACGTTGAAGACTTTAGAGGTCTATTTCTTGGATATGACTCAAGAGTCCAGGTCCACTCCATCTCTGACTCTGAAAGAAAAATGAAATGAAGAAAAACAAAATATAGAGCTCGATACATGAGCCTAGACTCTACTACATAACATTCTATATCTAGTCTAAAATCGAACTTGTTACTGTTAGATGTAGACTAGATCTAACTCCTGTTTAATTTAGATCTCACAAACATACTAGTAGTCTAGCTGATCTAGGACTAGGGGACTAACTCTAAATTCTGATGTATCTAAGTTAATCCTGCACAAAAGGTGCAGTGTAGAGACTAGGTCTAGACTACATCAACCCTAAGTCCCTAGATCTAGTATAATGATGCAGACCAAATCTACATTAAGATCTTATTCTGAATCAAGATCCAACTTGGTCTTGGGTCTGAAACTGTGGAGACAATTTTTTTTCTTTCATAAAATGTTAACGTTGAAACAATGACCCCGTTGATTGTAAATGTTATTATCAACATGAAAAAGGGGCTACCGCACTGCCTACCGGCAAATAACAAAGTAGGCCTAGTCTTAGATTTGGAAACTGAGCCTTAACCTCAATTTATAGCCTAGGCCTAGATTCTACGCACTAGACTTTTTATCGGCGACCATTCAACGCGATGATTTCTAAAGCCGTGGTGGACTTATTTATTTTGTCATCAAACGCAAGAATAAACTATATTTCCTAATGAATTCAGACCTGTCATAACCAAATAAAATATTCAATGTCGTTAGACAAGTAGAGTTGGACATGCATGGATGTAATGAATGGGACGGAAATGCATGAACCAATGCAATTCGTCCATCTTATTTTTAGCTCAGAAGTTGGGGAACGCTAGACCCTATTAGTAGACCCTAGTGATATTTATGTCAAATATCGTTCGGTTAAAAATGAGAAGAATACTTTCCTTCCACCAAAATTTGTTTTCAACAGAATGAATATTTTAGAAGAAAATGGAATTAACTTACTTTTTGAGGACCTCTCTTGCAGTAGGCCTGGTTTAGCGACGCATTTTTGTGGTTGACCTAAGTAACATCGACTAGGTCTAGCCTTGATCACAGAGCCCTTTGTTTAACCTAAAATTTATCAAGATCGATTCTAGCTAAATTTGATTCAATGAAACAGCTCACGAGCATCAGTTTAAAGGCAAAAGTGATTCAGCCTTTAATAAAAAATATATTTTCAAAGATATTCAGGCACGTGGCCACAGGGGGGGGGGGGGCTTGGTTGAACTTTGTTAGACCCCTCCCCAGGACGTCGATCAATTGATCTAGGTCTATGTGCCCCCCCCCCCTCAACATCAAACTCTGGCTACGGGCGTGAAGATATTTAAAATCGAAATTAATTTTAGATGATGAATCAACCTCCGGCGGGGGGGGGGGGGAATTGTGAAAACTAGTTATTTCCCCTAGTTTGGCATTTTTTCAGCTTTGAAAATTCACCAATTATAAATATAAGTCGAATCTTGGTCTAGAATGCTATGGACCCCGGGACATGGACTTACATTAATTTAGCTTCCGACGGTGCATAATCTTAATAATACATTCAACTGCATATTTTCTAGACCTATTACAATTTTGGATTTTTAATACAGGCATTCAAATTATATTCATTGCTAGTGTCAGTGACTAAACCCTAGTCTTCTTAAAAATTATAAAATAAGAATTGAGAGTGATGATCAAACAAAACCCATCTTAACTTTTAGTCAAAGACTTGGAAATTACACCCACGTTTTAACCTTTGGATCTTTTCACGCATTTGTATCATTATGCTTTACTACTGCAAAGTAACTGAATAGAATAATCTAGTAGGATTTTAATCTATTTTATACACGATTTGAACAAGAACCTACCACACGGATGACATCGTCTTCACCCGTCTGCAGCACTCGATGAGGTAAACCAAGTCTTCTTCGTCTGTGCACTTCACCCATATCAGAGATAGCTGCCCGCATTTCTTGGTTTGATCTCTGATCAGAAGACCCAGTCCTCTCATCGTCTCTCTCGATACACGGTTCTTCTCTGATCGGAATGAGTCCAGTGTTGTAAGCGTGATGTCTGTGAGCTGCTGTCCTCCGGTCCGACGAAGACCAGCCGTGATCTGAGGTACGTCTCTCTCTGCATCATCGATAGTAATATCGATCTCTTTCAAGCCAGGGAGCGATGAGAGCAGACCTTCGTAGCTTTGTGACGTCACTCTCTTGGCTGATAGCTTTGTGACCGATAAAAGCTCAGGAGGAGATGGAGTGAAACTGAGAGAGGAGTCTGAGATAGTGAGATGGTTCAGTGAGATGAAGGATCTGAGACAGGACCACATTCTGGCAGTCATCTCAGTAGATAGCCGACATTTCCTAACCTGCAGGATGGATAACATAGAGAGAATAGATTTTTACATCTACGTAAATGCTATTATGCGAAACCGGGTACATAATGAAACCCCCTTTTGGATTAAAGCATAACGGTGGACATTAAATGAATAATGATAATATCAGTATACATGACTAGTAGGGCGCACAGCGATCTCGGGAATATGATAACGCGGGAAATATAACTCACTTGTGATTTTTCTTTTTTTGTTTGTATTCTTTTAATCCAATTAGTATAATATAGCCTTGATTGCACTTCGGTAACATAAATTAATGGTAATTATCATTTCATGCATTGTGGGTTTTTTTCTCGAGCCGTCCAACCTTAGTGTCAAATGGGCGCTGCTATGGCATTGTAAATAATGGGTACGAGTATAGGGTTGTTTGGATAGGGTATGACTAAAAAAATACACTAATTTGACCATAATGTTCAATATAACCATCGACAACTGACCGGAAGATAAATATTCCAGTTACAATCCTCACCATCGATATCACATGACAAGCTGTTGCCCATTCACGCCTTTGTATCTGTAAGAGTTATTTTGATTGCATTACTTGAACAAAAAGTGATTTGCGTTTTCCCGTCAGGTGCTAATAGTAAATCGCTTTCCTAAATATTTGTAGTCGTATTTGCTTACCTGGAAACCCGATTCTCGATCGTATTCGAAACATCTACCATCAAGAGATCTATAGTAATTGAAAAAGAAAGTTGAAAGCGAATACAAGAAAAATAACACAAAAAGTATGGGAATTGTGTTAGGGGCAGTATGCAAGATTTTTTTTTCAAGGGGAGGGTTTTAAAATTTGAAAATCGCGCCGATTTGTTTTTGTTTTAAACTTTTAAAAAATGTTATGGGGTTTAACCCCCCCCCCCCTCCCCTGCGTCACACCTGTTTGGGGGATTCATGAAATATCGGACACGGCCTGTGAGTATTGTTTGATAAAAACATGCAGCAGGTCCTAGTGAGTTGAATAAGTAGAGACTTTAAGACTTTATTTAGCATGACAAACGATGGCAGGCGTTGTGAATAGTACCGTGGGAGTTTAAAAGAAAATAACTGTGTAAATGTTTACATTGTCAGTATGGGATGCAAATAAGTAGGGTTATGAGAAGTTGAGAACAATATAATAATGATACTCCAAGTGACCCCCACAATACACAAATCCCGTGAGAAGCCCTTGAGCTAGCTGGGGTGGATTAGAGGATTCCCATGGAAAATTATCGCATTGAATATTTGATAGTATTTGCATGCCCCCTCCTTTCATCTTACCAATTTCAAATATATTTGTAATTTCCAGCAGTTTGTGTAGTGTGTTTATTTTTACGGATCTTGAATTGATAGTTCGTAATACGTGCAAGGATGTTAACATGCAATTTGATGGAACAAAAGCACACACAAACTAAACTATTAGTCGCCTTTAATAGTTTACAGTTAGACTTCCTGTTTGATTTTGTCTACTTTAATTTCATTGATAAATGTATGAACATCTACTCGATCTCACTGTAAATGCAGACTATCCAATGCTTTCAAAGTTGACGACTCGACAAGTTCAACCAAGTCTTCTTCGTCCAAGCACTTCACTCCGGGCAGACAAAGCCGCTGCAGGTCCTTGGTTTGTTCTCTGATCAGAAGACCCAGTCCTCTCATCGTCTCTCTCGATACACTCTGCTTCTCTGATGGGAGTGAGTCCGGTGCTGTAAGGTTGATGCGTGTGAGCTGCTGTCCTCCGGTCCGACGCAGACAAGCCGTGATCTGAGGTATGTCTCTCTCTGCATCATCGATAATGATATCGATATATGTCAAGCCAGGAAGCGATGAGAGCAGACCTTCGTAGCTTTGTGACGTCACTCTCTCAGCTGATAGCTTTGTGACGGATGGAAGCTCATGGGTAGATGGAGGGAAACTGAGAGAGGAGTCTGTGATGGTCAGAGTACGTAGCATCGAAAATGATCCCAGGCAGGACCACAGTCCACTCGTCACGCCGGTAGTTATAGTAGATTCCTCTAACTTTATAGTCATAACCTATCGTTAAGATAGAAAGATTTAAGAAAAGGAGATTTAAAGAGAGATTGTAAGAATTAAATAACATTAATTAGTTGATCTCTTGTTCTTATGCGGTAATCATTAAAGCAATAAAGACTGTAGCCTGATCTTATCTTAGAATATTATCCGGTAAGTAGTGGGAGCTCCCTCCCCTACTCATTTACATTAATAAGTAAAACATTTATTATCTGTCATGTTGAATAAACGGCTCCTATGTTTGACGTAAGTTACATGCATATATTGACTGTCCCTCGTCTTTTCTCTAAATGACTAGACCCTAGGACCTTTGTTATCATTTTGTTTCAATTTATTGTTTTTTATTTCTGTTATGTAGTAGGCCTACCTTGTTTGAGGCTGTCGTTGGGCAAACATAGAATAATAAACATACGTATTGATCATTGTATCATGCAGTATGATTTATTACGATGCAGTTAATTATGAATAAGAATAAATTTACACAAATATATTAGCTCTTTGACTTATAGTTGCAGCAGAGAAATGAAAATTTAAACAAGCTTTATGAAATGATTATTGTAAGCATATTTTGTGAAATCAAAATGTGCATACCTGACGTTTAAGTTGCTGTGGAAGATTTTGCATCCCAACGACGGTGTAGACAGTCGGTGACTTCAGAACAATACTCTCTGCATTCACACATCTTTGAACCAACGAAGACACGTTTCCTTCGGTACCCTTGGTCTCTGATGAGCAGTCAAGAAGAATGCGATATCGCTCGCTCTCATCCAAAAAGCGGTTGGAAAGAAGCGCCTCCATTATTCGTATGCAAAGGCTGTTATCTGTGCCAGCAGCAAATCGGATGAGATTCTCATAATCCCCGATGTTTGCCTTGATGTTTCGCAGCAGTCTGTCTAACTTAGAAATCTTCAGTAGTAACATATATTTCTTCGTTTTAGCAGCAAGGTATTTCCCAGCCGAGTGTTCCTGAACGAGTTTGTGATAAAACTCAATGGTCGTGGACGTGGTTTTGTGGGATTGTGGGAGCCTTGTCGTTGGAATCGTCATGTTGGATAACAACCCAAGCTCACATGCCCTATCAAGGATAGCAGGAATTTTTCGAAAATCATGGGGCGTAAAAACTATTTTTTTGGAGTCGTCTATTAGACCAGCTAGAGCAACCTTACCCAGTTTACGAATGATTTCGATTAGTTCTTCTTTTGTTATTTCGTCTTTTGAATTTGATTTGGCATTGGCATGGTGCATCAGAAAATCATTCACACTATCTAATAATTCTGTTTGAGTTGCAGTTTCAGTGTTCAACATCCCCTCGCTCCATAAGTGACAGACCATGAGACAAAATAAAGGTGTTTTAACAAGCTCATTAATCAGTGGTTGGTCATCAAGGTAAACCTTCAGACCATGTCCATGTCCACGACAAGGATTCAAAGTTGAAGCAAAGAACTTGTCGATGTACTCTCGTGAGCTCTCTTGCGAGAATCCTTCGATCCACATCTTTGTGTATACCGTTGGAAGATCATCTTGATTGAAGAAGTTCTCTAGGTGAGGGCGTGTTGTTACAAGGACCCGACACTCTGGAAATTCCTCCCAGCGGATGACACTGACCATATTGCTCTCTGAGCTCCGGTTTGAAGAAGAAATACCTGCATACTCATCTAGTCCGTCTAGTATGATGTGACATATTCCCTGATTTTCTCTAATGAAACTCTCCAGACCCTCTGGTGTGAGATCATCAACATCATTCAAAAGTTGGGATTTAATTGCTTCTCCTATCGATGTACGCTGACTTGTGTTTCGGAATTTCACCACAAACAGAAGTGGCAGTAGTTCTAACGCTGACCCCTTTTCTCTATGAACCCAGTCGTATGCCATCTTAGCAACAGCCGTGGTCTTCCCTCGTCCAGCTGGGGCCGAAATGAGGATTCGAGCTGGCAGTCTTCCGTTTACTTTCGTCGAAAAAATGTCAGCAACAGAACCCTGGAGTATTTCCTTCTTTGTAGTGTCTTGTCCACGAGCGTCCTTCGTCACCATTGTGACCACCGTGTGCATATCTTTGAACTCGGCATAATCACTTTTATCCCACGGTTTCATAGGAATTTTGCACAATTGATTAAGGTACTTATTCTCCAACTTTTCTCGACATCGTTGAACGGTCAATGATGGCGAGATCTTCTTACTGGAAATATCTGGAATGATGCAAACATATGAGACAAAGTGACGTATTGCACTCCCATGATCTCAGCCCTTTTCCCAACTAACCAATTTGGTTCGTTAAGTTTAAAAAACAAATGTTTTAATACATCAGGTTTCATTGTTCAGACATGTTCCTCGTTCCCCATGAAGCAAAGGCCGGGAAACACACGTGAGGAAAATCCAACTTTAATAGCAAACTGCTCTGACATGAAGCAAACAAATTTAGAGAACCAGTCTGGCGAAAGTTTAAACGAAATTGGACAACCAATAATAGCGTTTTGAGTTGTTATAAGTTGCAGTCCCCATACGTAAATGACGCAAGGGCATTTCAAATTGACAGAATCGGTAATGTTACTGTAATGTATAATACATCTTTCCCATTTTTGTCCAACACACGAATGAATAAAATGTCAATTTGTCGAATGTCTTACTCAGGAAGATTGTGAATTTTTAAAAGGACATATAATATATATGCTATCCATAGTATATTTTGAATAGTACACCAAGGGAAAAAGTGTTTATAAGAAGAACAACAATTAATGTTATTTTTTGTTCACGACAAACGGGAGAGTTGTCTGTATCTCCGCCACAATCCACTGACCAAATTGCCGATGTGAGCTTCGCAAATATATGTATATAGTCAGGCGCGGATCCAGGATTCTTAGAGGGGGGGGGGGCAATTATTATTATTTTTTGCTCCCGCAAATTTTAAAATCGCGCCGGCCGAAAATTCGCTCGGGGGGGGGGGGGGGGGTAGTGAGTCCTAATTTTTTTTCGGCCGGGGGGGGGGGGGGGCACGTGCCCCCTTCCCCCCTAGATCCGCCACTGATAGTGATGACATAATTGGAAGATTCAAAATGTTCTTGTTGTTGGTTCGAATTACAATTTTCGCTATTCAGTTTCTCTTATTTTATTCTGCTTTCACACAAATTAACTCAATACAAAGAGTCAATTGCCCTTAGTCGCTAAATATCTCTTCAAATCGATATCAAAATTGAGAAATTTTAAGATTCTTGAACTTGATTTTGTTCTACCTTATATATTCAAAAGAGTGCTGCTTTTTACAAAATTCAATTTAATAGTACATATAGGTGGAATATTTTAGTTTTACCCCAATTCATGGAATTATTTTAAAAATAATTTAAAAATAATAGATCTAGATAATAGTAAACATTCTCAGATTTTATTGAATAATAATTTGACAATGTGTCTTTTGCGTGACTGCTAAAGCATGTGTATGCTACTATGCTTATCAAATAGGGGACCTACGCCCTTAAGTCATAAATGACAGTAATGAGGATTAATGCCCCACAAAAGGCCACTAATATAGCACATCGACACGGTTTTGATCCTGGGGCCTCATAGTTACGAGGCCATTGCTTTGTCACTGAACCATGACTGTACGCAGCGGGGGCTAGGGTAGGGGGCAGTTTCCATAAATAAAAAATAAATAAAAATGCAATAAATTTTCAATAATTTATTGCATTTTACCCCGGTTTCCAACATAACAAAATTATCTGGGTGGCCATGCATTATGGCTCAAGGCATGGGCACACAGAGGATTTGTTTATGTTGGGAACCGGGGTAAAATGCAATAAATTATTGAAAAATTATTGCATTTTCTGTTTGTTTTTTTATTTATGGAAACTGCCCCCTACGATAGCCCCCGCTGCGTACAGTCATGGTTCAGTGACGAAGCAATGGCCTCGTAACTGTGTGGCCCCAGGATCAAAACCGTGTCGATGTGCTATATTAGTGGCCTTTTGTGGGGCATTAATCCTCATTACTGTCATTTATTACTTAAGGGCGTAGGTCCCCTATTTGATAAGCATAGAAGCATACACATGCTTTAGCAGTCACGCAAAACACACGTTTGTAAATTATTATTCAATAAAATCTGAGAATGTATACTTTTATCTAGATCTATTATTTTTAAATTATTTTTTAAATAATTCCATGAATTGGGGTAAAACAAAAATATTCCACCTATATGAGCGACAGTGTATCTATTTTTTATTGAAGCCGGGTGCCTTTCTCCCCAACTTTTTACATTTTTGAATTCAGAATATTTGTATTACTTTTACATGTTATTGATAGAAGGATAAACGGATGAGCAAAAAAATAGTACACGTTCGACATGGCTTTTCCAAGAGTCAAATTATGATCGGATAAACACAGTAAATAGCATCAAAACATCATCTACCCTCCCAAACGTGCTGCAAGAGACTCCTCTTAATAGAGACGACAGAGAGACAGAGGATGAGTTGAGACGACCCTGTCTTTACCAACTTCATACATTTCGTTTTAAAAAGATTGTGCGCAACTTAGGTAGCTTCTAAATAAAAATTCATCACATATTTGACCTTGAATCATATTACACGGTAAATGGTAATTAATACCATATTCGTAATTGTACTACCGCGGATGATTGAGCAGCAGGCTTTTCAAAACGTTTTGTCAAAATTCTCATGTACCAAGTTTAGGCTGAGGCAATGAACGTAGGTAAAAAGGCATTGAGTGTGTGTTACCTCAGTTTAAAAAAAAAGTTGCTTACTTATTTACATTGACTAATAAACAGTGGATATGAAAAAGTATTAATATCTAATCGAACCCAATAAAATACAGATTACAAACTAAATTTATGATACTTTCTTCGTTATGATTATAATATAATCATGACTTCATTCGCATCCCTTGTTTTAGGTAACCCGTTTCATTGAGTGATACAACATGGATTAAGTTTATTTGGAACGTTATTTTTAAATGAAAGTTTACTGTACATTTCTGTAATACCTAACATCATAATATGTGTTTTTATTGCATTTGGGTTTAGTAACCTTTTATTTGCTATTCGAGAAAAGCACAATATGCGCTTTACTTGTGTGAAATGGCGCAGTTGACAAGTTGGCAGAGATAAATTTAGCTACCATGAGACATGAAGTTAGTAGAACGAAAAAGTGCGTGCAATATGGTTGACCTACATTCGATCTATCATGCCAAACTTGGTATGATTTTGACAACACTTTTTTAAGACCCTGGTGCTCAATCACCCGTGGACTAAATAATATGAATAGTTTATCATTGGACAGAAACAAGTTACTTAACATCATAAATTAGATTTCATGGATATATTCTAATTTCATTTTTTCAATTTGTTTGTACAGGTATAAGTGGTGATTTAAAGCACTCTGCATGGCACTATTAGACCCACCTGGAATAATCGGTGTCCTCTTGAGATATGTACTAGCAAGCATGACCAGCTCAGCGTCAATGAGACCTTGTTTCAGTCTGATATGCTGGTCGCAGGGCTCCACGGTCTGTCTCCAGTCAAACAGCATGTCACGTGTTCCCTTGCAAGTCACCCGTCCTTCTATCCTATTGGTCTCTGTGTATCTATTGATGTCTGCGACCCTGAATCCGAGTGTTCGTCCTAGGGCCTCCATCTGCTCACCCGTCTCGATGTCTTCAGCCAGCTTGGAGAGAAGAATATCGGCAATACCTTCATGAGCCGCCATACCTGTGGAGAAAATAATCAAGATTAAAGTTTAAGAAACGTATTATGAACATTAGAGTGGGACAATAATTCAATGTTGTATGTCAACAGGTCTGCATTCATCATGGATATGTAGCAATTATCTTCTATCAGTGTGGATGCGAGATTGCGGGCTTTGAAATGTTAAGAGTATCAGTACTGTTGTAGAGAAGTAGGGTATTGACGATCAAGGTATAGGTAATTAGAAACCTTAATAACCCCAAACTATGATAATAAAATAAAGACAACCATGGAAAACAAGACATTACTGTCCATGTAATGGCCTATAAACATAGTTGCTGCCTTTTAAGCATTGCCGGTTTCATTTTTCGTTATGCATATCCAGAGGCAGTGCTCCCAGGGGGGGGGGGGGGGTGTCATACTGCTCCACTTTTCAAGTACCTGAAAAGTGCCCGTTCTTACGAAGGACCCCTTTTATTTGTGATAAGTGTCGCGTTTACTTTGACAAGTGACTCGTTTCCTTTGTAATAATATTGTCTCTTCCACACGGGGGGGGGGGGGCTTGGACGGTGGGGGGGGGGGGGAGCTTGGACGGTGAAGGTGTACGTCGGCGCCATACACGATCAGTGGCGATTCCCCCTCCCCCTTGAGAAAAAAATCATGTAAAGCAAATCGAATTTTTTTTTGAGGATCAAAAAAAAAATGTGCTCACTACCCCCCCCCCCCCCCCCCCCCCCCCCCCCCCACTGAGCGAATTTTTGGCCGGCGCGTATTTCAAATTTTCGGGAGCAAAATAAAAAAATAAATAAATAAAAAATTGTGCTCTGTACCCCCCCCCCCCCCCCCCCCCCCCCCCCCCCCCCTACTGAGCGACTTTTCGGCCGGCGCGATTTTCAAATTTTCGGGAGCAAAAAAAAAAAAAATTGGGCCCCCTCCCCTAAGAAATCCTGGATCCGCGCCTGTACACGATAACGTGGATAGGGAAGAATGAAGAGAGGGAATAACCGAGTGTGTGCGTCAATGAAAGGGAGAGAGAGGAGGAGCGAAGGAGAATGAGTTTATTGAATTACTAGGTATAAATAAAAGAAAGAGATCAATTGAGAGAGAGAGAGTTAGATACAATTGAATGAGCGAGTGAGAGAGCGAAGGGACGAAAGGGAATTTAAAAAGTAAAGAGAGTCACTAAGAGGGAAATTGAAATGTTAAGTGCTAGAGAGAGAGAGAGAGAAAGAGAGAGAGAATGAATGAATGGATGGCTAAATGAGAGATATATAGATTAATCGTAATTGTGTACTAGCGATTCTGTGTGCCAAAAGTAAAATAAATTGAAATATGTCAGTTCTCGAATAGTTATGGAAAGGAGTGTCGATATGAGATTGTATCACTATAGTGTGGTACGGTATGTCACTGAAACAGCTCCCGTAGGCCTTTGGATTCATTGGGGTCCAAGCTATCAGAAATTGATTTTCCCGAAGACACCAAATTTCCCTATTGCGCTTTATATAAGCAATTTTGGCGCCCAATATGGACCCCCAGGGAAATGAAGGAGGGGTCTGAAAATTTGAACCCCATCATGTTTGGTCAATTGGGACCCTTTTGAAGCCAAAACAGCAAAAGAAAATCAACTTTGTCAAAAAAATCACACGGTATTACATACCATACCAAACTACTACCTCACTACACTAAACACGGTTGATCATGCGTGAACCATTTGATGAGCCTTTTTTCAGGGGAGATGATTAAAGTATTCCTAATTTCTCTTTCCCGGAGGCATTTTGTGTGCATCCGCCTCATTTGTTATGTTTTTTGGATCTTGATATTTTTAGTTTAAAGATAAATAATGTTATAGGTAATATCATCGCACCTTCAATCGCGATATCATGAGTTGTCAGCTCAGGCGCGTACGCAGAATATTTTCAAGGGGGAGGGGGGGGGGTGGTTTAACTATTTCAAATCGGGCCGAAAATTTCGCAAAGCCTCAGCCAGCCGTTGAATAAGCCGGGGGAGAGAGGACATTTTTTTTAAATTTTTTTTTTAACACAAACAAAAAACGAAGGGGGGGGGGGGGGTGTTCCTTTAAAACCCTCATGGGAACATATTGAGAAATTGCTCAACTACCACTCCATTACCAAAGAAAGAGGCCGTGTGCATTTCTCCGATTCTATTGAGAGAGAGAGATAAAGATAGAGAGAGAGAGAGAGAGAGAGAGAGAGATAGGGGAGGGAGTTAGGGTGGTCCGGGGTTCAAATTCAGTTTCCTTTTTTATATTTTTTATTCAACCTGGTACTGATGAAAAAAATATCTGCCATGTGGCGATACAAACAGGTACCACAATCTCGTTTATTGTCATACAAATATTCAAAAAGAATTGAAGAGACGATGAAGAAATAAGAATAATAATACTACATCGTCGGTATCGTGAGAATATACTTTTTAGCTCTCGGCTAAATCCCCCGAACAATGGAATCAACAGACCAGAATCTAGTGTGACACGAATTATTATGAGTTCAAGCTGAACGAATGAATTGCCACGTCATGGTTGTATTAAAGAGCAGCAATGGCCAACGATTGTTGCTCAAATTCATCAACAATGCGAATATTGCTTTTCCCTAAAAAGTATCATGATATATCGGGCCGTACTCCTTTCAGTTAAAGTTTGTTGGGGCAAATAAATTCAGAAAATAAAACAAAGCAAAAATAATGAAATTTACTATTAGAATACTTAATAACGTCTCAAAATATACAAACTGATAATATGAAATCGAATTTTAATACATACAAAATTATACAGAAGGTAGCTATAAATAGTGTATACCTTATCCTATTTTAAAGGGTAATTTTTTTCTTCTTGTTATTCTTTTTTCTTCAACTGTTAGACTTACTAACTGGAATAAGCTAGATAGTATTGTAAATTACTGGCGTAGCATCAAGGAGAGGGATGGCAAGAGGGTACGTATATTTCTTTGACCGTACTGAGAGAGAGAGAGAGAGAGAGAGAGAGAGAGAGAGGGAGAGGGAGAGGGGTGGCTTAATGGCTTGGGGTCCGAATTCAGTTTCCTTTCAAATTATTCAACCTGGTAATGATGATGGCTTTATCTGCTATAAGATTGTCATGTCATTGTCCATGAAATAATCACACCATGTTGTCTATTGTAAAAAAAAAATCAAATAGCATTCAATAAGAACAATAATAACTGCGAAAATATTCCACCCCCTCTTTCTCTCTCTCTCTCTCTCTCTCTCTATATATATCTGCTTAATCCTTTGAACAGTGGAATCAACAGGGTAGAATCAATTTTATTTTATGTGTCCAAAATGAAAGAATGAATAGCCACATTTTTTTTTTTTTTTTTTTTTTTTTTTTGGGGGGGGGGGCGTTTCATCAACATTTGGCATAATTTTGTTTCTTTCTTGTTTTTATTTTTTTTATTTAAAAAAAAAATGACAAAGGGGGGTGTTTTGCTCCAAAATACACACCTGCGTACGCGCCCGGACGGCCATGTGACGGTTCCTTATAAATAGTACCGCAATGTCTATTGTTATAAAAAAAAAATTCAAAATGCATTGTAGTGACGATGAACAAATAAGAAAAATAACACATCGTCGTTCACTCCGAACGGTGGAATCAACCAAGCGGAATCAACTGTGAAATGAATTATTATGAGTCATATCTGAAAAAATACATTGTCACGTCATGGTTGTATTTAACGGTGAACGCTTGCTGCTAAAATTTAGCAAGAAATGTTGATAAGATTGCTTTCCCCACAAAAGTACCATGAGACGTAAAGCTAGATAAAAACTGAACCATAACAACCGATATTGTCTGGTAAATATACAGAAAACATTGAAAACAGGAGGAGGGGCGGGTGGGGGAGGCCTTTTCAGTTAGTTCAGCCCATGTACTATTACTGCAAATATATGTGACAATTATACGGAAACATGTACAGTGTTTTCCACTCAAAATGCGCCTCCTGTTAAAAAACAACAACATTCGTTTTGGATATCTCGAAATGACTTACCAATCATATTATCTGATAATTTATATTCTTTGCGTCGTTTGATAACATAGATCATATCATATATATCATATATCATATGTCTAAATAAGAAAATGTGTTTGACAATGGACATTTTTATGGTGTGGTAAAAAAAAACCGTTACATGATTTTAATGACATCCATAAAAGAGTAAACCACACTTTTCAGTTTAATTGCTCCATACACATGTGGGGTATATCCAAGTTTAAAATGTATATTAGACAGGTTTATTACCTCCGACTCATGAACAAAATTATGTCAACTGAACATTCAGAGATGGTACATATTTGAAAAAACATACCAATCAGGATTTGTTACATTCTATCAAATTGTGAGCACAAAAATACAAATGTTTGTCCAAAAAATGTGCTTAACATCAAGCGACATCATAAGCATTATAAGGAGGACGAGTATCAAAGTCATATCCAAGAGCCGAAATGTTTACCCCCTCCAAAACACACACACACACACACACGCACACGAGAGAAGAAAGGGTGCGGCCGCATTTGCGTGTTTGTGTGTATATGAAGGAGCGCAATCATATTATATCTGGGCAGCCCACATTGGCACATCCACTGCCATGAATGCAAGTTCCTTAGATAATTTTCGCTGCATATTTATTTATTTTTTTATTTATTTTTTTGTTGGGGAGGGGGGAGGTGTGGCGGAGAGGGTGTACGCCGGCATCAACATGCACGATAAGCTGGCCGGGGACGAATGAAGAGAGGGATTAACTGAGGGTGTGCGTCAATGGAATGAGTTTGTTGAATCATTTGATGTGAATACAAGAAATAGATCAATAAGAAAGAGAGAGAAACAACAAATATGAGCGAGTGGGAGAGCAAAACAGAAATGAATTAGTGAGTGGGTTAGAGCGAGGAAGAGAAGGAATGTTAAGAGGGAAATTAAAGTATCAAGTTAGAGAGAACGATAGAGAGAGAGAGAGAGAGAGAGAGAGAGAAAGGGGCCGGGAGACGCATATTTTTTTTTTACACAACTGTTTAGCCATTTTCGCGAGAAAAAAATTCCAGGAAGTGCTCTGGTGAAAGAGTCTAAGTCGTCAGCACACTTACAAGCACGTACACCCAGGGAATTCGAAGGGAAGATGATAGAAAGGGGAAAACAAGGATAGTGGATAGGATATTGAGAAGGGGAAAAAAGGAAATACATAA